ACAAATTTAAGCATATTTATATGAATGAAGTGTACTTTGGTTTGTTGCACATGACAGTTGGCTAACTGTCATTATGTGAGTGATTGTGTGGTCTGATTGTAAAGTCTGATACCAGCAGGAAGGAAGGACCTGCGGTTGGCTAGTCTTGCTAAAGTGAATGAATACAATGCAGCTGAGATGAAAGATTGTAAAGCCAGAGTGATCATTGTGGAGAAAGAGCTGGAACGCATGAAGTCCATTAAAAAATGTAGAGAGTATGACCGCTACAAACAGAGATGGAACCTTTGAATTAAGGGAATGAAAGAAACTATGAATGAAGACACCAGACGAGTGGTCGTTGAGCTACTGAAGAAAATAGCTCCACACTGGGAACAAAACATGGATCATATTGTGGATACAGTGCATCAGATTAGTCAAAAATTGGAGATCAGAGTGAGACAAATAATCATCCAGTTTACAAGATGACAACAAAGAGGTGGATTTTGGAAGCTGACTAAAGAGTCCAAAGTATGCAAAGATGCTGTTCATGGAGAACATCTCAAAGGAGGACAGATTAGCAAGAGCAGCACTTTCAGTCGTCAGCCAAGCATGTCAAGCAGCAGAGAAGGCGTATTTCCTTGGGCTTTTCGGATACATTAATGGCCGCCGCATCACACCTGAAGCTTAAAATGGCTATCTCATAAAAGTAGGTGGGATGGGCACCCCTATAGCTCACCTAGTTGAGCGTGCGACCCATGATCAAGGCTACAGTTCCCCGATGCAGCAGTCGTGGGTTTGACTCCTGACCCGTTGCTGCAGGTCTCTCCCCATTCTTCTCACCCCTTTCCTGTCTATCTGCAGTGCTCTAAAATAAAGGCAAAAGCCCAAAAAACATATTAAAAAAAATAAAAAAGTATGTGGGATAGGGTTACAAGGAGGAAACAGCCCTATTGTCAGTAACACTTAAAACACTATTTATTTTTTATTTTTTACTGTTTTTTGGACTTTTTTTGTTGTTTTTCATTTTCCCTTTAGCTGCTGCGAGGTTTTCCAGCAAGTGAACGTCCATCCATCCATCCATTTTCTATACACCGCTTAATCCTCATTAGGGTCGCGGGGGTGCTGGAGCCTATCCCAGCTGACTTAGGATGAAGGCAGGGGACACCCTGGACAGGTCGCCAGTCCATCGCAGGGCCACACTTAGAGACAGACAACCAAGCACACTCACATTCACACCTACGGACAATTTAGAATCACCAATTACCGGGACGCGAACCGGCAACCTTCTTGCTGCGAGGCAACAGTGCTACCAACTGCGCCACCTTGCAGCCCCGCAAGTGAACGTTCCAACCTAAATTTAATTTCTTTAAACATAACATCTCAAAGACTATGTGAAAAGAAAAGTCAGTTTTTTTGTATTATAAAGGACTTAAATCTCACTGTACTCTATTGCAAGAAACTCATTCATGTGCCTCAGATGCCACCTACTGGACAACACAATGGGGAGACAAGAGACTCTCCAATCACTGGAGCAGCAGATCAGCAGGAGTTGTTATTTGCTTCAACAAATGTCCTCTTAATGTAATCTCAGCAGATGAAAATGGGCATTGGTTAATAGCTATTATCAACATAGACAGTAATTACATCATTTTAACCAATGTTCACGGTTACAGTAACACCACCCAAAACAAGGTTTTGCTGCAAGAAATTGCCAATGTTGTTTCCCAATACAGAGAATTATACCACACTGATTTATTATTATTTGGAGGAGATTACAATCTAGCACCTGACAATTATCTTGATAGGTACCCAATAAAATTTCATGATACTCATTACAAGACTATTTTGCTGGAGTTTTGTAACACCTTTTCTTTGATTGATGTCTGGAGAAAAAGTCATCAGACAATACTGATGGATTAGGCCCAGTGGAAGTATTAAATCTAGAATTGATTGATGGTTTACAACTGCAGAACTGACTAACTATGTGTCCAATATAAAGATTTCCAGTGCTCCTTTAACTCACCACCGTGCGTTATCTCTCAATTTACAACTAAAAACTAGAAATGTTTACTGAGAGTTTAATGCAGACTTGCTGAAACACCAGGAATATTGTGACACTATCAAGGAGTTAATGATGGAAATCAAATATGACGTAACTATTGGCAGCTATTGTAGCAGATGGGAGTTCCTCAAATTTAAGATCAGACAGATATCAATATGCTATGGAAAGGAAAGAAGCAAAATCCTTAGAGAACAAGAATTTAAACCCATACAGGACCTGGAGGACTACTGTAAGAGGACTCCCATGTTAGACTCAGATAAAGCTATAACTAGCTATAACTTTCAAATCCAAATTAGATGAAATAAGCACCAGAAAGGCAAGGGGAGCCTTTATCAGACTGAAGGCCAAATGAATCGAAGAAGGTGAGAGTAACACAGCATATTTTTGTGGACTTGAGAAGAGGAGGCAGGAGAGAAATCTCATTAACATTCTCATAATCAATGACACCGAGTGTACAAATCCCAAGGTAAGGTCTATACATTTTTATAATGATCTATACACCCCTTCTGACTCTGAAAGTGACTTACCTCTTCTTCTGCACAGTATAAAACATAACATCCCATCCATCAAAACAGACTTTAGGGATATATGTAACTCAGACATTGAAATGTTTGAATTGGACATTGCAGTTAAACAACTCTCGCTAAGGAAATCACCGGGCCAGGACGGACTCTCAACAGACTTCTACAAATACTTCTGGGAGGTCATTAAGGACTTGTTCTTCCTGGCCACTCAAGAAAGTGTCAGGAATAAATCTCTGATGACCATGATGAAACAAGGTCTCATATCACTGATCCCTAAAAGTGGTGAAGACAAAAAATATTTGGACAATTTAAGACCTATAACTTTACTGTGGACTACAAATTATTTGCTCATGTCACTGCCAACTGGCCTGTCACAGATTATTAGTGATTCTCAACTAGGTTTTCTGAGAGGTCGTTCTATACATAAAAATGTCAGGCTCCTACTGGATTTATTAGACTATAGGGACAAAATCGAAGATGATGGTTTTATTTTATATCTGGATTCTTGTAAAGCCTTTGACTGGGTGGAGTATCCATTTATGTTAGAGACCTTACTTTGGGTTTGGAGATGCCTTCTGTGAAGTGATAAGGATGCTATAAACCGATATTAACAGCTCTGTTCTGTCTCCCTTTGGCACATGTAGACATTTTGAAGTGAAAAGCCGACAAGGGTTCCCAGCCTCACCACTGTTGTTCATTATAGCTGTTGAAATTTTAAGTATTATGATCAAATCCTGTGAAGAGCTTCAAAAATTAGATGTACTGGGTTGACCACTAGCGATAACTCAGCTGGCAAACGATCCCACACCGTTTCATAAAAACAAAGCTTAAATGCCAATAACTCTGTAAGTTGTCAGCCATTTCTCAAAAGCATCTATGCAGCGGTTTGTATTTACAGTGCATTTGGAAAGTATTCACAGTGCTTCACTTTTCGAAAAATGGATTAAATTAATTTTTCCATCTAAATTCTACACAAAACACACCATTATGACAACTTGAAAAAAGTTTTTCGTTTGAGATTTTTGCAAATTTATTAAAAATATAAAACTAAGAAATCATATGCACATAAGTATTCACAGCCTTTGCTCAATATTTTGTTGATGCACCTTTGGAAGCAATTACGGCCTGAAGTCTTTTTAAATATGATGCCACAAGCTCGGCACACCTATCTTTAGGCAGTTTTGCCCATTCCTCTTCGCAGGGTGCCATGGCAGCCGGTACTCCTGACAAAAAGTTGGGGGAGCTGACGGGTCTGGTGAAATCCTTCGTCCGGTCACAGGCAGCCAGGGACCAGGTAATTGGGATGACTGTGGCATTTGGTCGGTAGTTCACATAATAGATGACGGAGGGACCATTTTATACTTTGCTGATTCTGTCAGAAGTACAATATTACCTGCTTTATCTAGCAATATAGTGATGTGATCAATGCAATCCCACAAGCTTTGGTATGTACCTTGAAAATGTTTTATTATATACAAGCACTGCCCCCGGTTTTATTCTCTGTCTATTCAAAATTGCCCATTTGTAGATACAAAATGTAATTTTAAAAAAATGTACTAAATGTCCAATCCAAAGAATATTTTCCCTTGCCCTTGAGAAGACAAACTATATTGGAAGAATTCATCAATAAAAATATTAAGAAAATTAGATGCAATTATCTAAAATTTCCTGTCCTTCACAAAGCTAAAGAAATCATGTCAAAATAATTTATTACATTTATCCCTGTAGAAAATTCTTACAGTCCAAATTTAACAAAGATGATAATGGAAGTGAATTTTGTAACACTAACGTTGAATTAGAAGAACTTTTTTTTTCTTGTCCTTTTTCAAAGATTTTCTGGGGTAGTTTTTGTGTCTGGGCTCTTTATAATAATTTGTCTCAACTATCACTAACATACAAGGAAATTAAATTTGGAGTCACTTTGCAAGAGAAAAAAATTGGATTTTGTATTAAATAATTGTATTATTATGGCCAAATTCTTCATGCACAAATGCATATTTAGCACTGACCCTAACCCTAAATGTTGCGGACTAGTGAAACGTCATCAGTTGGCGCCCAATTACATCATCGACTTGGGACAGCTAAGTATCCCATGATGCATTTCCAGCCGACCATCAACAAAGACTGAGGAGAAAACTTTTAAAGGTAACACAAGTCTTTTGGAAATACTGCTGTTATTGTGACAAAAATCTAGTTTTAAGGTTATTTTAGGCCAGAAAGAAGTTGTATAAACAGCAAATCTAGTTAGTCTAGTCTAGTAAAGCCTGCTAAAACTTTTGTTCCGATGATTTCGGAGATGTGTCCCGATAGGTATGTATAATAAAGGCTTTATTATACATAATAAAGGCTTTATTATACATGTCTATGCGTGCCCCGGTGTTCCAGTTTACGTCGCGATGTTTGCTACATTTACGCTACATATGTTCCGTTCGCAGATTCGTCCCGACCCTTGTTAAAGAAGTCTATGTCCATGTCAGTATCATCTACAGACAGCAAAACCAAACGTGCTGACCAAAAATAAAAATTAAAAAAACACGTATTTTTCGAGTCCAGTGAGAGGATTCGGTACTATGTAATCCCGATGTAAAAATACGAGTTCAGTGTTGTACTCATTGTGCCACCGATCAGCTCGATTAGGATCCTTTTCAATCCTATAGATCTTTTCCATTCTGTCCGGTGTTTAACACCTGGTGGTTATTCAGGGAACACGCCCAGATCAACTCACTGCCTGTTTAATAACGACACACAAAATATATTATTGTCTTAGCAAGCAAAACCCACAATATAGAACCACGTTGTGTTATGTTGTGTGTCAGTTTGTGCATTTAGTGTCAGAGATCCAGAGCAGAACTTCACAACGATGTGATTCAGCAACAGCTTTATCAGCACCATTCATCTCCAGGCAGTAAGAGGTGATAGAACTGGGTTCAGGCTGGTTTACGATGCATAGCAGTAGGGCTGCATGATATTGGAGAAACTGGCAATGAGATATTTTTATTTTCTGTGATAGATACTGAGATATAACAAAAACACACACACAACCTAGTAAATATAACATGAGTATTACTTACTAACTTCAACATGCAGTCTGTGTCCCCAGCACTGGCCCCTTTATTTAGGGCGACAACCTTCGTCATGTTCACCACATTGTTCTGAACCTTTTCAGCATTTCTCCCAAGTCAGTCAATTATTTGTGATCCCATGCACATGCAGATCCTGTACGTCAATAAACTCTGTTTTTTAAAACAAAATTTAAAAATTGACCATGACATTGGAGTAAATGATCAAACTTCTCTTGTAGATCAGTTATGAAAAATTAAGACTTGGTAGGTTATCTTTTTGTGTCAAGCAGCAAAAAAAAGAGTTAGTTTCCCTTACTTCACATTGCACTTAGTGTGAAACGACAAAATATCCAAACAATATACAGATGCCAAAGTGATATATTATGCAGTTCTACAAAGCAGTTAATTTGGAGTTGGTAATTTGATTTACAGATTCTCCCCGGAGCAGCAAACAGACTCCAACTTACAATGTAGAATCAAATTAGGTAAAATAATTCAATTTTAATCTCTACAACTTCTCTCACTAATGTGTATCAGAATGTTGTAGAACACAGACAGCTATTGCTAAATAAACATTTTAAAAAAGAGAGATGGCCTTAGATTTACCTAGGTTTGCTTTTTTAACATTGTTTAAAAAAAAATTAAAAATTAATTTAAATGATGTTGAATGGAAAGAAACCCCAAACCTGTCGGGATTGGGGCTGTTATATCAGTAGCATAAAGCATGTAGAAAAGTGTGTTTGTGTGTTTATGTTCTAGATTGATCATCATGACAGCCAAGCGTGGATTAATAACGGATTCATTCAAGGTGGTGAAGAAAGCACGGAGAGGGGGGAAGCAAGACAAGAGGCCGACTCCTCCACCTCCACAGAAGGGTGAAGAGCACCACTGTTTTATTGTGGGGTTTAAATACTTGCACTTCTGTTTATTTTGTTTGGAAAAAAGAAGACAAAATATTCTGTTTTTCATTTTAAAAGCACTTTGGTTCATGTTAAAATCAGTGATGGATCTCTCTGATACTTCTGTTTTGACGCAGCAGTGACTTGAAGTCGTTCTATATCTTTTTCTTTGAGCAGAGGCTGAAATTGAAACTGCCCGAGAGGAGGAGTTGCAGAAGCTCCGACAGTTTGACCTGGACTGCAGATTTGGGCCCTGCACAGGTAGCGTGGCTACTCACATAATCACACTGGCTTTGGCATGAAAATAGAAATAAGCTCAAGCGATGTCCAGCGGATTCTTGCTGATGCCAATGTTGATATTGATGTACAGACATATTCAACATATGCTGTAGTTGATAAGCCGTGCTGTTTCATTTGAACTGTGTATTTTTCGTATGAAAAAGGGGAATAAAAGAACGGGTAGCTGTACCTCGTACACTACAAAATACAACAAGAATTTGCAATTCCTGAAGGAAAGACAGTGTGATTGCTAGAAGTTGCTTATATGACTGCAGCTGCTAAGGCTTGCTTGTAGCATTACAGCTTTGTAACTGGGCAAATGATGTTGCAGTTTCTATATTTTTTTCGATCAAAGCATTTCCCCAAGGAGCAGCTGTATGCAGTGTTTTACTTCTGTCGGTCTTGCTTTGACAGCCTATGCTGTAGTGCATAATAGTTTGGCTGCGCCACAGTGTTACTGTGATACAGGGGAAAGAATGCCTTGGCTTGTTTGTGTTTCCTTAAATCAGTCACAGTCGTCATGGGCGGCGTTAAGTGTGTACAACTTTGGTCTTCCCTTTCTTTGCCTGGATGTGTTGAGCTTTTGCTGGATCTTTTGACAGATTGTGTTTATGTTATAAGAGAGCAGAGTCCGTGTCTGTGTTTATAAGGGACTACAGACAGACTCATACACAGACATGCACTTTGTTCTGTTAATCTGACTACAGCTGGGTGTGTCAGCTCCAAGTCTGAATGTGCACCCTGGTCACTTTTCCATAAAAGTCATACCAATCTTACAAGATTGGGCATAGAAACATGTCTTTATTACTTTGACATGGCACAAGTCTGAACTGCACTGTTAATGGATAGAGCAGAAGCAACGGTACTTTGAGTTATTAGAAGTGATTTATGGAAGGATTTTCCACATTCCACAACTAGCTACTCAGCTACTTTATAAAGACATTGATGATCATAAACTTATCATATGCTTATCAGAAACTTTCGCTCAGCCTTTAGACTTGAGACACTGTCATGCCCAGCTGACTGGTATCCAAACTGAGTGACTTTACACTTTCACAATCCACCTGCCACTTGATCAAGGACTTTCTAAACAAAAGCCCACATACTATAAGAATCGGTAACCACCTGTCCTCCACCATCACACTCAGCACTGGCTCCCCACAGGGGCTGTGTGCTGAGCCCCAGCCTCTACTCACTGTACACATAAGCCTGTGCCCCCATCCATAAGTAACACTATTATTAAGTTTATCGAAGACACGACTGTGGTTGGACTTCTCAGGAAGCTCAGGAGACTGGTCCGCCTACAGAGATGAAGTCCAAAGACTGACGGTGTGGTGTTCAGAAAACAATCTGATCTTGAGCTCCAAAACCAAAAGAAGTTATTATAGACTTTCAAAAAAACTGAGCAGACCCTAATCTGCTGATCATCAACAAAGACTGTGTGGAAAGGGGCCCAGCCTACTGGTCCTTTGGTACACACAGTGATGAAGATCTCTCCTGGATTACCAACACCACAGCAACGGTGAAAAAGGCACAGCAGCGATTCTACTTCCTGTGGATCCGCAGAAAAAACAACCTGTAAAAAAAGTTGCTAGTGTCCTTTTACTGCTGCTCTGTCAAAAGCGTGCTGGCATACTATATCACTGTGTGGTTCACCAGCTGCTCAGCAGCAGACAGAACAGCCCTCCAGAGGATCATCAACACTGCAAAAGATGATCTTTGGCTGTTCATTGCCTTTTTTTGGAGGAATTATGCAGTTCTCGCTGCCTCTGTAGAGCAGCAAACATTCTGAAGGACCAATCCCATCCTGGACACCTTCTGTTTGACTCACTACCTTCAGGTAGACATTTCAGGTCTGTCAAATCATCACCAAACAGACTGAAAAACAGCTTCTACCCTAGAGCCATGAGAGAACTGAACTCAGCATGCTACTTACTGCCACACACTATTCTATTCCACTGTAGCTGTAGATTTCTGCATCACTTTTGTGTGATCTACTTGGCAAAGTAGTTGCAATGTCTAATCTTGATGTTGATATCTACCTGTAATGTTACTGACATTGTTAAATGGAGTACAGCCCTCATCATCCTGTACGTGAAGCAAATTTTGCAAACTTTGATATTCTGTTCATTAAAATGATTTGGATTCTAAACTGGTGCACAAACTGGTTTTACTCACACAAATTGCTGAATCCTGTCCTCTCTTTTTGCAGGTATCAGCAGGCTGGAGAGGTGGGAGAGAGCAAAGCTTCATGACCTTAAACCACCTGAGGAGATCAGAGACCTGCTGCTGCAAACATCCGATGACCCTGAATATAGCCAGAGGTAAAGCACGTGCACACACATGCATACACACGTGCATGTACGACCAGAGCAGTAGGGCTTTTGTGGTGTGCCTAGAATATTTGAAAAAAAGTCATCCTCATATGGGAGAAATTAGATTATGGAAGGCAATAAACATATTTTTGGCACATACCATATAATAACCCCAGCATTAGATAGAACCTCCTGATATCCTTCCTGTATACATGGCAAAGTTTTCCTAATTTATCCTGATTATGGAAACCAAACTGAAAAAAATCACTTCCCTGCTGAAAACTGGAAATTGCCAGGCTAATCCAGTGCACTTACAGAATAAATGTTAACAGAAAAGTGACCTCTGTCTGAATGACGACAACACTGCTACTTTAGCGAATTGATGAAGCCAACAATGTTCCATGTCTGAAAAGGGCTTAAGATGGCCACATACAAGTTTAAGATAACTTTGAGAGAAAACAGATACAGATATGGTACCAATGCTAGTTTTGCTATTAAAACTATGACATATCCCATGATAATGATGCTATTAGTCAGTTGTGGAACAAATCTTGTTGAACAAAAATGTTATCTTCTCTTTAGATTGTGAAATCGACTTGGTTGGAAGCACAGAGAGCTGTCTTACTTGTGATAAAGTTTTTAGATTGGAGAGGTTTTAGCTATAGTTTTGAACAATTTTAATTTACTCTTAATTAAAGTTTGTGTACTACTGAACATATAGACATGATGCCCTAACTCTTGCACATTCAAAATGATATTGTTGGTCATTCAGGCCATTCAGTAATAATTGTGTCCTTTGCCTTTCAGCCTCTGGAGTGAATATCCTGTCTGAGGAAGACAAAAGAAAGAAGACAAGATACAAACTCCAACAAAAGTCAAGTTTTATATACAAACCTTTTTTTATGATAAAGCCACTTGAAGAAAACAAAAAAAAACAACAACAACAACAACAATTTTTGAGATGTTTATTTCATGTCATGTCAAATTAATTTGATTGAATTTGTTATATTTGATGTGTTTTGGTATTTTAGAAAAATCTGACATTTGCAAATTTGTCTGTTAGATTGAATTCAAAGTATTTTCAATATGACTTGCTGTTTTACTAATGAATCCAGAATGATAGAAACACGTGGATATTGGCATCAATATCACAAATCTACCAAACAAATCAACTGTTATTAGAAAAAGTATTTTCAGCAGATGCATTTGGCAGCCAACTTAAAAAATGACTGGCAGCTTCAATTTTTTTTTGCCAATCAGACACACTTATTATGTATCCTACTGTGTCAAATTTGGTGCTTGTATCACCATTTAACTGATTTTTCTCAAACCTGTTCAACTGTTTTGAAATTTAATTGATACCAGTAGACTTGTGTAATTTTATTTCTTTTTAATTTTTATTTGGAATTCAATACAACTGAACAACCTTTTTTTAAAAATTTGGATGTTACTTTAGGGTTATGGAGAAATTTCATAATGTTATTAAAAAGTTTTACACTGACACATACAGTTGTGTATCCCTGAACCCTGAAATAATCCACAGGTCCAAGGTGTGATGCATTATGTTATTTATTGTGACCACCCTCTACATTTTTCAACAAGGAATTTAAAATTCATTAAACCCATGACTTAATGATTTATTCTTCTAGACTATACTGGGAGAGAGTATAGTAATGATTCAGTCAATCCAAAACACCCTTGTATTCAAATGAGTGCCAGTATCAACATCAGAGTTGCTTGAATATTTGTAACTTAATTGAACTGCAACATCATGTTTATTAGTGCCAGCTTGACATCCTCAGTGTTGCATGAAGATAATAGAGGGTTGTATGTACAACCTCCTGATACACTTTGTTATAGATGAAACACATCTATTACTGAATAAAACACAACCTATTAAATGGCCTATTGCCCAAAAGGTTTAAAGACTTATTTTAAAATACTATAAAAGGTTCACCTTGTCCGAGAATTTCTTAAAACAAATTTGAAGTAGATGCTTGTACCTTTTGTAATGTGAAAGATGAAACATTAGAGAACATGTTTTTCTCATGCCTTTTGTTGAAAAAATGTTGGTTACATATAAGAAAGTGGATATGACTGTATAGTCAGTCTTATGGGTAAATAGAATTATTGTCGCAAATGAGAAATAGTGCACTGCCTAGTCACAACATAATATTATCTAGGCCATCCACATGCCACCAGGACAGCTCCGACCTGTGTCCTGTGGGATGTTGACAGTGGATCCTTTGGGTCCTGTGGGCTGGACTTGCTCCAGCACATCTCACAGGTGGAGTTGTATCCTTGTGCAATTTTTGTGGGGAAGGCCATAACTGTTGTTAGTGCAATTGGCATAAGGGAGGAGTGGTTGGTTCACAGCAAGGTTTAGGTGGTGCTGTGTCAAAGTAGCATCAACATGAATGCCAATCCAAGGTTAGGAAAATCCAAGGTTTTCAAGCAGAACACTGGACTGTAACAAGATGATCAGTGTTACTTCAACTGTAAGTGGTTTTAATGTTGTGGATGATGTGCGTGTATTTCCAGTCCCCACTACTTAGTATTTTTTTGTTGACGTTTTCAACTACTGCTAGTTAAAGTCAAACACCCAGCACTAAGCTTGCGTGATTCCCTCGGAGTCAACAGACGCACCGTCTGCTGACTGACCGAGATTTACCACGGCTGTGCCACACAGACTGGAGGCCTTTTTCGCGTAAGGCTCTCAATAGGCGGGATTTTACATGACTGTACGTGCTGATTCGTTAACGTCGTGCATCGTTCTGATTCGTAGGCCTGCCCTTGGTCCATTCGTAGCTCTGTTTGGTTTCTGCTTGGTAAATGCAGTTAATCACGTCCATTACCGTACAGCAGCGTCAAGCTACCAGAACTAGCCGCGGTAACACCAGAAGTGCGATTTTTTTTTTTTTTAAGATAAAAACCCTAATTGAAAGTTAGGTTGGTTTCGGTCGCACAACTAGTTAGCAAATGCTAAAAAAAATATGGAACTAATATCTGGCGTGGAATATACGTCTTGACTATATAATACAACGTAAACTTTCTTTCGGAGAAGTCTTTACTTTGAAATGCTTTACCGGATGTTGTATTTTGTGAGTGGCTGCTTGACAACATCGGACGCTGTAGCCTGAAGGCTTGTAATCAGTTATCTACAGATAGGCGATAATAATACCACATTATATGGGTGCCCGATTCGTGAGCCGTATTTAGAAAGCAGTTGCCTTAAATACGATTTTTTTTGTTGTTGTTTTTTGTTTTGACGTCAGATAGCACTTTACCACTTGGGAGTAAGATAGTGTTTTAATGGAAATCTGTTCCTGATGGTTTTTCACTCATGACCGGCTGTCACAGGATAACTAGGTAGCCTGGAATTTTTCAAACCATTCTTCTTCTTTTTTTTTCCTTTCCGATGCTGTGAGGAATTCGATTCAGAGAATATTGTGCTGTGATGTTACACGTCTCCCTCAAACTGTAGTGGACAGACGACGCTGCTCTGGTAGGCAACCTGTTCATCTCCGGAGGATTAACGTTAGTACATGTTGCTAGCTGCCTAGCGTGCTGGCTAGTCACCTACACATCTCTGTAGCTTATTTGCTAACTGCTAGTTTGTGGCTCAAGTGCGTGTGGTGATTTTTCACCTGTCGTTTGACATTGTGTTAGCGTATAACCAGGTAATTACGTTGACATGCTACATTGCTGGCAGACATCATCAGTCGTGAGCAAACATGTCCGAGTATCCACCGTTGTGGATGCCGGATAAGTCAGCGTACTTATGCTTCGTGTGTAACACTGACCACAGGGCCAAAAGTGTTATCAGTGTTATTTATCATTAGCATGACTGTTGAGGTTTTGACTGGAAATTAGCATTAGGGATTCTAGTGCGATTTTTAGAGAGACAATTTAATAGAATACAGGCCTACTTCATAGAACCTCCCTTCTAGCTAGGGTCCTTACGAAAAATTGAGTCCTTTTTTTAATTATTATTTTTAAATAAGTTGTTCAAGCATGTGGCACGTGAGTGGTGTTGAACGATATGTCAAGCTGCACCACAAACACCTGCTCACCTGTCCATTACTGATTCAGTGAGTTCACGCCTGCTTGGTGCATTACATGACGACAAGTTTGTATAAAGTCATATTGATCAGTATGAAAGAGAGCACGTTGTGTCACGTTGTTTGAATGAAGTAGAACAACGTCCAAGGCCAAGCAGTCCTTCTGAGAAGAACTAACTAAACAACGTAGAGCAGGTGATCCCTAACCCTGTCCACTGTGATTCAACATAGATGTGTTTTCAGTGGGAGCTCACCTCCCTTGGCCTGTATTCCTGTCTCTGGGGTATTTCTGTCTCTGCTGGTGCCAGTTTGTGTGGTTGCTTGGCTATACAGTACACATGATTCTCCAGATAACTAATGCTGTGTCAGTGTGTGATTTTATTACAGGTGTTCAAACCACCATAAAGCAGCAGGCTGCGTTTCAAGTATGAGATGTAATAAAATACTTTACAAAAAAAAAGATTAGCACCAGTCAGTGTGCTCAAACTCATGATGATATGGAACTAACAAGAACATAATTCTCAGGTTTATTTTTAATCGTCTAAAAATGTTGAATCCATAAAGACAACATTAAATCCTAGGGGCAGAAGATAACTGTACTGACTGACTGCCCATTGTCTTTCCCTCTTTCTCTCCACAGTGATGGATAATGCTCATACAAAGACAGTGGAGGAGGTTTTGGGCTTCTTTGGGGTAAATGAATCTACAGGCCTGAGCTGTGAGCAGCTGAAGAGGAACAGGGAGAGATGGGGACCCAATGGTACAAATCAAATATTTTCTTCAACTCATTACATTTGATTTTCCCCCCAGTAGCATGTAGACAAGTTGCTGTAGCCATCTTGTGTTTATTATATGACAGATGGATGTTACATTATAATATACAGTTGCATTTAATAAAGATGTTTATACACATTTAGCATACAGTCCTTTCAATCTGAACGATAAATTCTGTGTTTTTACCAGGAGTGTTTGTCCAGTTTTCTATTCCCCATTGCCATTTAATGCTTTCTTTTTGTATTTACTTGCAGAATTGCCAGCTGAGGAAGGTCAGTGATCCGTCCATCTTTCACAGTGTTTGTATGTCACAGTGTCAGAGAACGCAAGTGCAGAAATTAACCATGAGGATACTTGGGGAAAGGAAATGGGAAGCTAGCAAGCAGGCTAACAGACAGTAGGCTATGGGGGGGCTAGTGAGCTAATAGCACAAGCTGAGAACAATTCCCATGGAGGGTGACTACCTGGTCCAGAACACAAGATACTTAGAGCTACATGCTAACAATAGAAGCAAGTAAAGCTAACAAAGAGGGCCAGACAAGTGACTGGGCTGAAGCTAGCAGTACAGGGCCAGAAGTGCATCGAGAGCCAAATGCTACAGGGCTAACAGCAATAAAGGCTAAGCCAGCCACAAGGAACAGAATGTCATAAGACTAAGCTAAAAAGCTAAAGGCTAACCAAGACCAAGTAACATGAGGCAAGAGCAACCATTAGAGTAATATTACGTTGCAAAAACAAGGCTAGTGGCTAAACTAAACTGAGCTGGCAGATCGGTGTAAGGCAAAGGCAGTCAGGAATCTGTGAGGCAGGCTATACAGGTGTGTAGGTTGCTCCAATCTGGCAGAAGCAGGTGATCAAGATTGCTTCTCAAAGGCAAAAGAGGAGGTGTGTGGTTGGAAAGGATTCCAGAGTGGCTGAGGAAAATAAAGCAGAGCAAACAGAAGTTAAACATTGGTACGCAAATAAACATGAGCTCAGCCAGGACTGTCTGTCTGGTGTCTAGATCAAAAGTCTGAATGAACGGTGGTCTTATCTGGTGTTTTATGGAGCAGGGAGATGATTAAAGACAGGTGAGCTGGCCCCCTGCACAGGTGTCTTCACTGCCTCTAATCAGACAGCCACCCACATACAGCCAAAGAGGGGAGAAGAGTGAAAGACAGAAACTATCAGTTAAGAAAAGGTAGCAGCCCAGACAGTATATATGTGTGTGTCTCTGTGTGTTTCATTATCCTAAGCCCCTTTCAGACATGTAGTCCGTTCTATTAACCAGACAGCAGTTTAACATGTTGTCTTCATGCCTGAATGCTCAGCCTGGTAACATTTCTGTAAAGGACGCTCCGGCAGTCTTCCTAGGTCGGACCTAAAAACATTCATCACTTTCAACACGACACAACTTTGAACTGAGCCTTCACACAAATGGATAGACACACACAAGCAATGGTGCTTTGAGTTGTGTGAAGTGATTAAGGGAAGGATTTTAGCACCAATATTCATCCAAAAACATCACAGAGAGCCAAAGACAGACTTGGTATGCTAAAATCACAACGCACCCTTCTTACTCACTTGACTCTTTAACATCAATGAGTCTACAAAATAAGATGTCCAATATAATTAAACTTCACTGCCATAAAAACACAAACAGCTTAACATAATGAATGCAATCTGAGTTGTTGCTATACCTGGAGCATCAGACAGCACTAAGGTCCATAAACGCATTTGTGCAAGTGGAACAACTTCAGTGAATTCTTTTAAATTATCGAGGAAAGAGCACGGAGAGCAGATCTGTTTTGACCAGGATCCGACAGCAAATCACACTGTGTACTTGTCATCAACTCAGACAGGTGCGTTTTCACACAGAGTCATAGTTTATCCGCTGCTGTTATATATTTGTGTTACATAGCAGCTGTCTTCAGCTCAGTCCTGAGCTTTCAGTTTGTGCTGTTTAAGAAATCAGAGATACACAGGGCTGTTAGTTGTTTGGACACTTTGATCACCTGCTATTAGTTTAGATACAGTCTGGTATCTTGTTAAAATGCATTATACATCACTTGGTATATTGTATAGTCTCGGGAATGACAAATATAATGCGTGACTACATCTCTCTCTGGCACCACAGAATGTATCATTGCACAAGGTCGTGAGGAACATGAACAGAAAGTGACCTCTGTCTGAACGACTAGGATGCTGTCACTTTGACAGATTGATGAAACTAGCAATGTTCCATGTGCCATGTCTAAAATGGGCTCTATTCTGTTTCTCAACTTTTTTTTTGTTATCACAACAGCTTTATCACTGTATTACTACCTCTCCTAAATGTGTTTGTGTGCTTCTTTCTTCCTTCGGCATCTCATTGTGTGCAGGGAAGTCACTCTGGGAGCTAGTTCTGGAACAGTTTGAAGACTTGCTGGTTCGAATCTTATTGCTGGCTGCATGCATCTCCTTTGTAAGGAAACACAACCACACACACATGTGCAGTCACAAACAAAATTATTAATTATTTCAACAACAAATGTGTGTGTTTCTCTTAAACATATACTGCATATCAGTTTAACCCAGCTGTATACTCACAAATTATAAATGACATTAGTACCACACTGCACACAAGCTTTCAGCCTTTTCTCTCCCTTGTTTATGTCTCATAGACCCTGGCATGGTTTGAAGAAGGAGAGGGAACGATAACAGCCTTTGTTGAACCCTTCGTCATTCTCCTCATCCTCATCGCTAATGCTATTGTTGGAGTATGGCAGGTAAACTGTGTGTGTTGGGGTTGCGTGATTAGATAAATGGATCTGTCAGTCCATTGTCAGTTGTTTTTGTGGGGGACAATTTTTGCCATTTTGTTGACCTAATTTAGTGCCTCATGGAGAATTCAATTTGGCCAATAATTAACCTGTAAATCACAGTTCAAAGCATGTCCTAATAGGAACTGGCAGGTGAAATTGCACGAGTGAGAATTAGCTTAGCATCATGTAGCCACAGCCACTGTCGAGTGTATGTTAAAGGAGGGAACTCCTTTTCAAATAGTGGCAGATATTTCAGTGAATATATCCGCAAACACTGGCAAGAGTCTGATGTAGAAGTGAAAACTCAGTACCAAAGTCACAAACAATCTGGCACTGGAACACAGGAGGAGTGAGGGTTGATGAGGTGGGATGAGCTGCAGGCGTGTCTCATTAGGCAGGTGCATAGAGCCGAGCCATGCCCTCAGCCACACACTGAAAGGAAATCAGGGTTAACAGGTTGAGGAGCAGGAAAAGAAACAACCTAAACACCATAACATGACATTTTTTGTATGTTTGCACTCAAATTCGCCTACAGCATTTCAGTCGGATTCAAATCTGGGCTTTGATCAGTTCCTTGTTCCTTAATTTCTTCTTTCTGAGCCATTTCATGGTGCATTTGCTGGTGTGCTTTGGATCATTATTGTATAGAGAGATCCACCACTGCTTCCGGTTCAACTTTTAGACAGATGGTCTCACATTATCTTAAAGTACTTTTTGGTGTCCTGCAGATTTCATACATTTCAAACTATTCTGTCTTCAATTAATCTGTCCAGAGCAATATTACTTCACCAGGGCCGCTCCTTGCCTCTGTTCACTGGAAGTGAGTCTCTTTCAGCATTCTGGAGATGATAATATTTACTCTTTAAAGTGAAAGTGTGTTTGTCTCCTCCATCTTTTTTCTCATCTGACAATGAGATCTATCATCTGAGTTTTATTGGTTTTATGAAGCTCGTTCATATTTTGTCTCAACCATCCTACAGCAGCATTGGTTTCATCAAGTGTTTAAATTCGTCTTTCAATCGCTCCCCAGAGGAAGAGACACTTCTAAATGCGCTGTACAGTGCATGGCATGGGAGGTTGGTGCAGTAGTGCTGTCAATTAAAAGTTGGCCAATTGAATCTGATCGAGTTGTAACTATGGTAGCTGAAGGCTATTAAATGAAGCTGTTTGTCCGTGCCTGTGTCGTATAGGTTGATGTTGAATTTTGGTACATTATCTGTATATAACTGTCTGCTTTTTTGTAAATCAATTTAATGTAATTATATTGTTTATGAAGACTTGAATGCCAAGCTTCTTGCTGCTCTGTAAAGAACAGCAGGTAAGTTATTACTGCTCTGTCACCTTGCCTTTGAAAGTCTCATTGTGGTCTCTGAGCAGCTTGTTTGATTATATCTTCCTCTCAGCGTCATTGATCATTGTCTTCTGGGTAGTGGTGGATTATTAGGTTATTTAGACTCCATCCTTGTGGTTGAGGTTGTTTTGGGACCATTTTTACAACTGAGGAAAAATATTGTTCTTGAGCTATGTTTTTCTATGGATGCACTAGAATACTTAGGAATATTCTATCGCTAATGTTTTTTCTTGTTTGTTTTCTTTGTTGTTGCTTTCCTCCTCCTTTTGCTGCCTTTTTGGTACTTTTATCCTCTCTAGATCTGGAGTTCGGTGGCAGTTGTTATCTGACAGTTGGTAGTTTTTTGCTGTTGCTACTTAGCTTGCAAGGTCTTCCATAATTTGATTGACATGAAACGTGCCCAGTTTTTACCTTAGGTCTTAGATTGAATATACAACTTGTCAGTGAGCTTAAAAAGGCAAAAACAAATTCTTGATTCACATGACATGTCTGAAACATACTAGGAAAGTACTTTTAATACAAGTCTCCAAAGTATTTTCAGGGACATTGACCATGTGGGACAACAGTGGGGTTTATCTTATGTTTGGTCTCGTGTTTCCTGTTAATCTAGTTGGGATATGACAAAAGCCCAATCAAGGCAATTGCAGGTTTTTAAAGGGTATTGAATATGCTTCTCTTTTCTTTATTTATCTTCTGTGTTTGCCAAGTTCTCTGCTTGAAGGTGTGATGTTTGCATTGCAGCATTTAAATGCTCACATACCTAGTGAGATTCAAACAGAAAATATTGGCAGGTGGAGATGGATGTTCCATGTTTTCCCATTCTGAGGTTTCTCACTCATTTCATTAAAGGCAGACACTCAAAAAAAGCAATTTATTCTTATTGATCATCACCTTGTCAAACTGAATTTTCAGTATCATCTTTTTTCTTCATAAGAACTGTGGTAAACCCGTCAGATCAATACATTAACCTGGCACAGGCTCAGTAGTACCCGTGACTTTGTTTTGGAGGGAGTAATGTTTCATCCCCTTAGGTCAGAGGGTTTTTGTTTTACTTTAAATTTCCCACTGAAAGAACATACCCAACTTCCTTCAGTTTGACAAATCTAAGATCCAAATAAATCTTTGACTTGAGGGACTTGAGGGAATTTGGTACTCTTGTCTCCATTACCAAGGCAGAGTGACATATGAAGATTTATCTCTGCCCAATAAAGACTGTAAATAGGATAAATAACAAAATTGGAACAATGAGTTAGTGACACTGATTTTATTGAACTTGTCAGAAAAACCAAATTTGATGCAACTGAAGTATCCAACAATGCTGCATCAATTTATGTCATAGTAGTTCTAGGAAGCTTCTGCAGTGAATGTGCCACAATCAGCAACCCTTGGCTGGATTTTGTTAGAAGGGGTCCTGGTCCCAGTACAGGGACTAAAGGGCGGTAGGGTTAAATAACATACACATATCAAACACTGACATGTTGCTGTGTCTTCCAGGAGCGCAATGCAGAGAATGCTATTGAGGCTCTGAAGGAGTACGAACCAGAGATGGGCAAGGTGTACCGACAGGACAAGAAGAGCGTCCAGAGGGTCAGAGCCAGAGACAT